TGCCTTTCCTTCCAGCTCTACCTGGGAGAGATTGATGGTACCCGTCAGGGATATGGAGATAAATATGCATTGATAAATATTAAAAACATCGGTTTAAAACTTAATTTAATAAAGTACATTAAAATAGTACTGAAAACAATATTAAGTAGCATTCACTGAAAGGTCACTGTGTGTGTAGAATGTTGTCCACACAGAGTTCCATCCGGGCTGGCTGATGGAGAGTATTTTTTTTTTTTATTTGTGGGTTTAATATTCCAGACCTTTGTAATGATAGCTTGGATAATGTATTGTGAGATCCAGTTTAGAGAAAACTGTTTATATACTATATATTTCTTTTCTCTTAGATCCTTTTATTTACTGAATGACACAAGCATATTTCTTAATGAAGGATTTGTTTACAATTTTTTTTTTGAGATACGGTCTCACTGTCTCCCAGACTGGTTGAACTGCTGGGCTCAAGAGATCTTCCCGTTTTAGCCTTCAGAGTAGCTAGGACTATAGGTACATGCCACCATGCCTAGATAACTTAAAAAAAAATTTTTTTTTTTGTAGAAATAAGGTCTTTCTATGTTGCCCAGGCAGGTTTTAAATTCCTGACCTCAAGCAATCCTCCCACCTCAAATTCCCAATGTTCTGGGATTACAGGCGTGGGCCACCATGTCGATCCTCTTTACAGTTTTTCAAACATCTCTTCCTCTGATTTGTTTAAAAGTTGTTTTTTAAAAAGCTGTTTCCAAACGCTGGCTTTGAATAGAGTACCTCTGTTTTTCTCTATTTATGCCTCAATGTGTTTCACAAAGTCATAAGAACATAAGATGTGCTTCAGACACTTTCCTATGGTTCAGTAAATGTAATGAAAATGTATTTGAGGCTTAAATATTTGTTTTAATATTACAACACATTGGGACCTAAACTCAGTCAGTATTTCCATGCAACCTAATTTCACTATAATGCAAATTTGCTGTTTATATATAAGCTGCTTTTCTGGACTATGAGTGTCTCTCAAAGGAAGAAAGAACTATGGAACACTGACCTATTCCACAAACACTTACTGAGCACTAACTATGTGTCAGGCTAGATACTGGTGACACAGTGGTGAACTAGACTCATGCCTGCAGCTTATAGTCTAATAAGAGAGATAGACATTAAACAAATAATTATTTACTTTGTAATTGAGGTAGGTGCTACATAAAATGGGGACCTAACCTCCTCTCAGAAATTAGCATGAGGAAGTGAAATATAAGCCAAGATGTGAAAGATAAGAAGGAGTCATCCAAGGGGACAGTGGAATGTTCTTGCCAGCATGCAAACGCCCTGATGTATGAAAGAACCTGGCAGGTTCACGGAACAGGAGAAGGCCAGCATGGATGCAGAATCCTGAATGAGGAGGAAAATCAAGTCCAATCATAAATCAGTCAGGCCAGGTTAAAAATTTGAGGTTTTGTCCTAACAGCAATGAGAAGCCTTTGAAATGTGCTGAGAGAAGTGATATGATTTTATCTGTGATTTGAAAAGATGGCTCTGATTACAAGATGCAAAATAGATTAGGAAGAGTGAAGAATGACTGTTGCAATTCTTCAATCAGGAAGATGGCTTTGGATTAGGCCAGTCATAGTAGCGATGAAGATAAGTTGGGAGGTAAAAGAAATATTTGAAAAATTGAGGACTGATTGATAGGGTGTCATGAAATGAGGGACGGGTGATGTGAAGGATCCAGGGAGAGATGATGTCGAGGATCCAAGCTCCTGGAGGGAGGGTAATGCAGTCATGGAGATGAGCTGCTCTAGGGGAAAAGAAGGCTGGGGGACAAGACGAAAGATTCAGTCTGAACATACTGACTTTGAAATGACTTTAAGAAATAACTATGGAGACATCAAGTGTAAAGGTGGATACACTGGTGTAGAACTTCAAGAATGCCTGGGCTGTAGCCTGTGAGCATGCAGTTGGTAAATGAAGCCGTAGAAATGGATGGCCCAGGAGCAAACCTTGAGGATGTTACCTGACATTTCAGGTTGACTAGAGGAGGAAATGCTGGCAAAGGAGATTACAAAAGAATCCTCATGTTCAGGAGGAAAACCGTCAGAGTGTGATGCTGCCAAAGCCAGCAGACAACAGCAATTCCAGAAGGAGACTACCAACTATACATTGAACTACATACTGTAGCATATAGTACAGTATACAGTTTCAGTAAACACCTATTCCACAAGCACTTACTGAGCACATAGTGTAAGTGCTTGCGGAATAGGTAAGTAATCCATAGTTCTTCCTTTCAGAGGCACTCATAGTCTACCACAAATTTGTATTACATTGTAATTAGATTTCATGAAAGTACTGACTGAGTCTAGGTCCCAATATGAGGGATGTTATCCTAATGTGTGGGATGGTGTTAAAACACATGTGGCTCAGGAAAGGAGCCCTGAGGAGAAGGAGGTAACTACTTTGAGAAGTTTGCTCTGAACAAGAAACGGGGAACAGCAGCTAAGGGGCATGTGGGATCCAAGTAGAGTTGTAAACTTTCGTTTTCTCTTTTGCCTTTGTTTTTATGATGGGGAAACTGGAGTATGTTTAAATGTTGGTCAATAGTCAAGGAGCGATTAAAATACCTCATAGCTTACAGATCCTGGAGAATGGGAGGTGATGAGATCAAGCATAGGTGGTGAGGGATTTGCTTTGGAGAGGGGAAAGTACGCCCCACACTACAGTGGAAAGGAAGGAGGGGAAGTGCTGGGCAGGTGATGAGGAGGCGCTCTGTCCACGGGCTCCCGGTCCTCAGTTAGCAGGGCTGAGGCTGCAGGCCAGTGGCAGTGTGGGAGACAGGTGTTTTGGTAACACCTCGTCTGCATGATGCGCATTTTTTCCCCAGGAGAACTTAGTTTGGCAAAACATAGAGCAGCAGGTTGTTTCGGGTGATCCGTGGTTGGCTCTTTCTCACCCCCGCCCCACAGCCAGACGTGATTAAAAAGTCAGAGAGCAACAGAGGATCAAATAATTGATAGAATCTAAGTTAGACAAGGAAAGGCGGTTGTGGCCCCTCAGAAGGGACTGAGGAAGAGGAGAAGGGAAATTAGTGGCCTGGAAACTCCACTGACGTTGAAAACATCAGCAGCAGTTGGGCACCTGAGCGCACACGTGTAGTATGGGAGGATACGATTTTGTGGTCAGGTGGGGTTTTGGAAACAAAGCCATTTTGGGTGATGACAAGACCCAGAGGGTTTTCTTTGTGTGGCCCAGATGAGTTGGGGGCCACCGGCTCAAGGAAGTGACTGATGTGCTGGGGTGGCAGAGCGGCAGGATGAGCACATGGGGCCTGAGTGTGCCTGAGCAATTGCCAGAGTTGGGAGAGAGCAGAACGTGGAGAACCAGTGCCGAAGTCTTCCCTGAGTGATGTGGAAACAGTGGGCAGATGGTGGAAGCCCAAGGCAGCAGACTCAGAAGAGGAGCCTCAGAGGTGTGGCCCCGAGGAGGCACAGAGAGGAAGACTGGCCGGACTTCCCTACCTCTCTGGAGGCATGTGACCCCTGCGGAGGGCTGTGGGAAGCCACGTCTTCAGCCCCATGAAACCAGGACTGGGAAATGGGGAATACTGAGATGAGGAGGAGGAAGTAGGGAATTTGTTGAACAGGAAATGGAAGTCTGAGAGCTGGGAGGGGAGAAGGAAAGTGTGGGATTGTCAGGGAAGTAAGGCGCAGAACAGCAGGAGGTATGGGATGGGATGTTCCAGGAACTGATATGTGTGAATGTGCATGTGTGTGTGTGTGTGCACGTGTGTGTGTGTGTGTGCAGGTGTGTTTAGGGGGCAGAGAATACTGAGGAAAATCACAGAACAGGGCATGGAGGTTTTGCTACGGATAATATTTAGATGTAGACTGCCTCTTCAGATTGACAGACTGGTTGGCATGGTTAGAGTACAGTGCAGTGCAATGCAGTACAGTATATAGTACAATATAGCACAGTGTAGCTTACAGCATGGTGTAGCATAGAGTATAGTATATAGTACACTGTAGCTTATGGTGCAGTGTAGTACATGGCATAGTATATAGCACAATGCAGCATATAGTGTGGTGTAGTGTATAGTACAGTATAGTGTATGGTATAGCATATAGTACAGTGTAGTGTATAGTACAATATATAGTACACTGTAGCATATAGTACAGTGTAGCATATGGTACAGTATAGCAGTAGCATAGAGTAGCATAATGTCAGTTCTTTCTTTGCCTAGCTTTGACAGCCACTTGAGTAAGTGTGCTGTAGGTCCATGTTTGCCATCTTCAGCACACCCTGTTTACTAGCCTGGTTTCTGTCCAGTATTCCAAGATCCTTGCTGTGGTTGAGTGGAGGCTTCACCGAGGACCAGAAAGCAGACCTTACATACTCGCGTTCTCAGCTTGTGGCTGTATTGCCTATGCCATTATTAATCTCTGAAAGAAATAAGTGAATGTTCCCATATCTATTTTTAAAAATTTCTCACGCCTGCAATCCCAGCACTTTGGGAGGCCTAGGCGGGCAGATTGCCTGAGTTCAGGAACTTAAGACCAGCCTGGCCAAAGTGGTGAAACCCTGTCTCTACTAAAAATACAAAAATCAGCCGGGTGTGGTGGTGCACGCCTGTAATTCCAGCTACTCAGGAGGCTGAGGCAGGAGAATTGCTTGAACCCAGGAGTCGGAGGTTGCAGTGAGCCGAGATGCGCCACTGCACTCCAGCCTGGGTGACAGAGTGAGACTTAGTCTCAAAGAAAAAAAAAATTCCTCAATGCCTATTCATTTATTCATTTTCCTCTCTCTCTGATATGGATTGTGCTGTTAGTGTTATTTATTACAGCACTGGTATTTTCTGCTAAACAATTTAATATTACTAATACATCGTAAGTCACCTGTAAGTGGTTTTTGGTGATGGTTTGTTTTTAATTTGTAAAGTCTTAATTAGCATCATTTACATATTTCAGATTCGCAGTCTTCTTTAATGAGAGTGTTTTCAAGGCATGTTCTTTTACTTCCTGAAGGATGGAATGACCTGAAGATCCTTCCAGGTCAAGCTGTCTGTCCTACTCCCGGGTGCCGAGGAATAGGCCATATCCGTGGTCCACGTTATTCAGGACATCACAGGTAACATTTTTCTTACTTAAGTTATTTCCCGGATGAATGGAAACATTCTGCAGATTAGCAGCTACATGGAGCATCATAAATGAGTCTCATGGAACCAGCTGCCCCTGTGACACTCCCACGTCTGTATTGCCGAGGCCCTTCCTTGACATTTTCCTCTGCCTGCAACTCTGCCCTTCTAGAACCTTCTTGGAATTATGAGGTGTTTCCCAGACCCACTTCATGTCCCAGAATCTCTGTTTTGTGACAGTTTTCCTACCAAATGCACACTGTCATACACACCCACTACCCTGTCCTGAGACTTGCTTTCTTCCAGAGAAATTCCAGAGCCTCTTACCTTTTCCACTCATTTTCTATTTCCTGCCTCTATTTCCTTTTCTCTCTTTCTTATTCATTTGGAGTTAATTCTATAAAAGAATAGAAAACTAGTGTGAAGTTATGTTGCAGAATATGCCCAGGTTTTAAGTATTTGACAGTATCCGTATGAACAGATGTTGCTTTTAAAGAAAAATAATATAAGTAAATATGTAAGCCTTTGCTTCTTTTTCTATCCTTATCAATTGGTAAATAATGTATAGATACATTATTTATATTGGTGATATATATAAATGTATAAATTAAGACTGAAAGAATTAATATCAAATTTGTTCAAATACACAAATATATAAACAAACATCATAGAAAAGTTTATTATAAAGAGAAAAGATTAAGTCATATAATACATGAGGCAAGAAAAAATTTGTTTGAATAAAGGGTCTAAGTGTAATACAGGAAGTCCATGCTTTCTCAGGCAATCCTGGAAACTAGTGCCTAAAACATTTTTAACTGAATCAAAGGAAATGCCACCATAATAGTGATAAGCACTCCTAAATCACATACATGAATATAAATGTGATATGCATAAATCTATTAACACTTAAAAGAAAAAAATATAGCATCCATTAAACAAAAGAAAGACATGAAGACTGCTTGGTGACTTGTGAAAATCTGTGGGACTCAGACTGTGAACATGGAGCTGGACCTGGAGGAGACCTCTTAGTGCTAACAGTGTCCAGTCTGCACGGATCTGCAGCAACTCAATTCTTGCCGCCTCAGAGGAAAGAATTCGTTCCAGGGCATAAGGCAGAGTGAGAGACTAAGGCAGAGTGAGAGACCAAGGCAAGTTTTTGAGCAAGAGGGAAATGTTATGAAAAAGTTTTAGAGCAGGAGCAAAAGGAAGTAAAGTGCACTTGGAAGAGGGCCAGGAGGGCAACTTGAGAGAGTCAAGTAAGCCATTTAGGCCTTGCCTTGGGGTTTCTATACATTGGCATAATTCCAGGGGTTGCATTTCTTCTGCCCTTGTTACTGGTGGAGGGAGTCCAGGTTCTTGGTGTCTGGCACAAAGAATTGGACAAAACACACAAAGCAAGGAAAGAATGAAGCAACGAAAGCAGAGATTTACTGAAAATGAAAGCACACTCCACAGGGTGGGAGCAGGCCCAAGCAGAGGGGCTCAAGATCCCCATTACAGAATTTTAGGGGGCCTTAAATACCCTCTAAAGGTTTCCCATTGGTTACTTGGTGTACACCCTATGTAGATGAAGTAGTGGGCAACAATCAGTCTGATTGGTTGTGGAAAGCAATGAATCAGAGGCTGAAGTGAAGTTACAAAGTTACGCTGCTATGCAAACATCTGATTGGTTGCTGTCCACAACTGGTTGCTGTCTACAGCCAATCAGAGATACTTTCAATTTTCCATCTTTCATGCAGAAAAGCAGGGCGTCAGGGGTGCAAAGGGAGTAGCCTCTGGTCCTTTTGTTACTTGAGAGTGGAAAGTTGGGGATTTTCTTTTCATTTAGTTCTAGGGAGTCAGGGTGAATTGGCCTTAGGTTTCCTGCCTCTAGACCCTATTCTCCTGCGTCACCCCGATTCTTCATTGGAGTGGACTGTCCACATGTGCAGTGGCCTGCCAGCACTTGGGAGGGACCATGATATGGTTTGGCTGTATCCTCACACAAATCTCAACTTGAATTGTATCTCCCAGAATTCCCACATGTTGTGGGAGGGACCCAGGGGGAGGTAATTGAATCATGGGACCCAGTATTTCCCGTGCTATTCTTGTGATAGTGAATAAGTCTCACTAGATCTGATGGGTTTATCAGGGGTTTCCACTTTTGCTTCTTCCTCATTTTCCCTTCCTGCCACCATCTAAGAAGTGCCTTTCACCTCGCACCATGATTCTGAGGCTTCCCCAGCCATGTGGAACTGGAAGTCCAATTAAATCTCTTTTTCCTTCCCAGTCCACTGTATGTCTTTATCAGCAGTGTGAAAACAGAATAATACAGTACAATTGGTACCAGTAGAGTGGGGCACTGCTGAAAAGGTACAAGAAAAATGTGGAAGCAACTTTGGAACTGTGTAAAGGGTGGAGGCTGGAACAGTTTGGAGGGCTCAGAAGAAGACAGGAAAATGTGGGGAAGTTTGGAACCTCCTAGAGACTTGTCAAATGGTTTTGACAAAAATGCTGATAGTGATATGAACAATAAGGCTGAGACGGTCTCAGATGGACATGAGGAACTTGTTGGGAACTGGAGCGAAGGTGACCCTTGTTGTGTTTTAGCGAAGAGACTGGAAGCATTTTGCCCCTACCCTAGAGATCTGTGAAACTTTGAACTTGAGAAAGATGATTTAGGGTATCTGGTGGAAGAAATTTCTAAGCAGCAAAGCATTCAAAAGTTGACTTGGGTGCTGTTAAAAGCGTTCCATTTTAAAAGGAAAACAGAGCATAAAAGTTCAGAAAATTCGCAGCCTGATGGTGCAGTAGAACAGAAAAACCCATTTTTTGAGGAGAAATTCAAGCCAGCTTCAGAAATTTGCATAAGTAGCAAGGAGCCTAATGATAATCCCTAAGACCATGGGGAAAATGTCTCCAGGCCATGTCAGAGACCGTTGTGGCACCCTCTCCCATCACAAGCCTGGAGGCCCAGGAGGAAACAGTGGTTTTGTGGGCTGGACCCAGGGTCCCTGTGCTGTGTGCAGCCTAGAGTCTTGGTACCCTGTGTCCCAGCTGCTCCAGCGGTGACTGAAAGGAGCCAACATAAATCTGGGACTATGGCTTCAGAGGGTGGAAGCCCCAAGCCTTGGCAGCTTCCAGATGGTGTTGAGCTTGTGAGTACATGGAAGTCAAGATTGAGGTTTGGGAACCTCCGCGTAGATTTCAGAAGATGTATGAAAACGCCTGGATGCCCAGGCAAAAGTTTGCTGCAGGGGTGGGGCTCTTATAGAGAACCTCTGCTAGGGCATTGTGGAAGGGAAATATGGGGTCAGAGCCCCCACACAGAGTCCCTACTGGGGCACTGCCTAGTGGAACTGTGAGAAGAGGGCCACTGTCCTCCAGACCCCAGAATGATAGATCCACTGACAGCTTGTACCATACACCTGGAAAAGCTGCAGGCAGTCAACACCAGCCAATGAAAGCAGGCAGGAGGGAGGCTGTACCCTGCAAAGCCACAGGGGTGGAGCTGCCCAAGACCATGGGAATCCACCTGTTGCATCAGTGTGGCTTGGATGTGAGACTTGGAATCAAAGGAGATCATTTGAGAGCTTTAAAATTTGACTGCCCTGCTGGATTTCAGACTTGCATGGGCCCTGTAACCCCTTTGTTTTGGCCAATTTCTTCCATTTGGAACCGTTGTATTTACCCAATACCTGTACCCCCATTGTGTCTAGAAGTAACTAGCTTGCTTTTGATTTTATAGGCTCATAAGCGGAAAGGACTTGCTGTGTCTCAGATGAGACTTTGGACTGTGGACTTTTGGGTTAATGCTGAAATGAGTTAAGACTTTGGGGAACTGTTGGGAAGGCATGATTGGTTTTGAAATGTGAGGACATGAAATTTGGAGGGGTCAGGGGTGGAATGATATGGTTTGGCTGTGTCCCCTGTGAAATCTCAACTTGAATTGTATCTCTCAGAATTCCCACCGTGTTGTGGGAAGGACCCAGGGGGAAGTAATAGAATCATGGGGGCTGGTCTTTCCCATGCTATTCGTGTGATAGTGAACAAGTCTCAGGAGATCTGATGGGTGATGGGTTTATGAGGGGTTTCTGCTTTTGCTTCTTCCTCATTTTCTCTTGCTCCCACCATGTAAGAAGTGCCTTTCACCCTCCGCCGTGAGTATGAGGCCTCCCCAGCCATGTGGAACTGTAAGTCCAATTAAACCTCTTTTTTCTTCCCAGTCTCAGGTATGTCTTTATCAGCAGTGTGAAAATGGACTAATACAGGCCATATGCACAGTGCGTTTACTGAAGTTGTGTACATGCTCATTTGAGGCGTTTTCCCCTTACCAGTCGAATGTTCCTAGAGGAAGGTCACGTACCAGTTAAACTCCACCATTTTGCCTCTTAGCAAACATGCTTGGGTCCACTCACCCAGCTCCTGAGATGTTATCAGGGAGCTGCTGATCACCAGTTTCAGGTGTTTCTTCTCTATTGGGAGGGTGCCTCTTCCTGGCACCAGCTGTGACCAATTATTATTTTAGATAGACAGTTTAACAACCACCTGACCATCACCTGATGGTAGCCTGGCATTCCTGGGGTAGGGGGCCTCTCCTGCCTTGCTCATGTCTGCCTAGCTGCCTCCATTTTTTTTTTCACAATCTGTTCAATGTCTTGTACCTACTGTAATATTAGTGCTCTGTGAGGGGAGGAGGAAACGAGGAAAAAGGAAGGATGAGGGACAGAAGGGGAGAGGAGGGGAGAAACCCATGATTGGGAGGGTGCCCTGTATTAGCGAGGACTCTGCTGGAGTTGATGGAGCCACTTCCTAGACAGCACTAGGAATATATAGCTATGGAGATCGTCTTCCTCAGGCCTTCTGTTTGTGTGTGTGGGGAGTGTGTGTGTGTGTGTGTGTGCGTGTGTGATCTAGAGCTGTAACACCCCACTATGGTACTCGCTAGTCACCTGCCTCTGTGTTCCTCAGGCACGCTTGGCAATATTTCAGATGCTCAGCAGCCCTTGTGACT